ACTTCGCGGTCCTTCTCTGTTCTTTTTCCGTTATTTACACGTGTAGGTCATTTCATTGTTATACACATTTGATATCATCATTTATCACATACTTCCATGACACTCTTGTGTGTCCGCTACAACTGCCAAGAATTAACGCGATTGGCGAAGCGTAGTGACAGCGGGCCAATAGAGAGCAGGATCCTTGCCATAATGCGGTTTTCGCGCCAATTTTCGTACGTGCGTTAATCAAGCCGAATAGTTTGGCCGAATATTCGGCTATTCGGCCACGCTCCTGGCCGAATATTCGGTATTCGGTCTGAAGCCAAATTTACTATTTTTTGCAACACTAATAATAATTGTTATATAACACCTATCGCTGAGAATAATGAGAATTGCTGAGAATCATACTAACAATTTTACATTCGATCAATTTTTTGGAACATTTACAATCATTTTATAATCAAACCAACATGCAATAACAAATTCGAATTTAAAACTAACTCGATAACATTAAATCTAAATACCACAATGATTAATTTATTGTGTTTTTGTTATTTATTACTCCTGTTTTTTGGTATTTGGTATTCGGCCGAATAGTGATTAAATATTCGGTATTCGGCCGAATAGTGAAAAATAGACCGAATAGGCCGAATACCGAATAGTAACCGAATATTCGTTACATCACTAATTTCTTGTTTACTTTTAGAATAGGATGGATAAGAGACACTGGCATTTATAAGAAGTTGGAGAAAGATGTTATGCCACAGTCTACAAAACAGATCTCTAAAGATACTTTTCATCCTTTTTCCATTGAAGATATTTTAAGTTGTTTTATTCTTCTCGCTGTAGGATATGGACTTTCTATTATAGCTTTTATAATTGAATTAATATACAATAAAATTGCTAAAATGTAAAACAGAATGTCGATCTTACCATCTAATTTTAAAAACAATATAAAGTTGCTATGCTACTAAAGCACTTTAGTATCTTATGGCTAATAAAACTTTCTCCAAGTTTTATTATGTGTAATAAATTTAGCTGCGATGAAGTTAGAAAAGTTTAATTTAACGAATTTAATATTTTATGCCTTATATAATCATTGTATAATTGGATAGAATATTATATTATTTATATCACGTATACAAATACATAATAATAAGTCTGTCATGTTAAATTTTCCTAAATTCCTGAAAATGTATCTTATTGTTAATAAAAAAAATTTGCTCTAATGATGTGTCTAATATCATTAAATAAGAAAAGTATATTCATCAAACATTTATCAATAGAAGCTTAATTACTTTAAGCAATTTATTAAATTAAATATGTTAAATGATCAAAGTAAATACATCCGTTACAAATATTTGAAAATAATTATCTACAGCCAAACCTCTGAAAAGTGTCAAAGACAAAAAAATAAAAAAATATTATAAATACAGGTAATTTACGGAAAACAAGAGACAATCACCTACTATAGCAGGATAAACAACTTTGTTTAGATGACTACCTTTTACAACTGTATTAGAAACAACCGCAGATTGCCATTAGTAATTTTTTTATTTTTTATTAAATATTGCAAGTGTAAATTATATTATTATATATAGGCTAAGTCGCAGATCTAAACGCAAACATACTTTCTATACATGTGTGTATGACCAAAATTTCCGAACTAATCAAAAGACGAAAATCTATGTTATGCTTCCCAAAGATGTCAGAAATGAAGTATTAGTTGACTTTTATAAAATGTATAAATAGAGGAAAAGGTGGTACAGTATTATGAAATCCTGCAGGTATTATGGAACCCCTCCATTTCAAAATGATAATAAAGGCGAACTGTAGCGGAGTGTGGCTGAACTGCAGTAGGCAGACGTCCATAGCAAGGGGAAAATTCGTTTCACTTTAGTTAAACGGTTGTCTGTAGTGAATTAGCATATGTGTGAAGCCAAGGGCATAAGTTTTGCTTATGTCACTTACTGGCACAAAATCGTCAAATTGGCTCACTTATTCTTTTAGGAGGGCTTTAAATAAAAAGGGTTTTGACTGCGAAGTCTCTTTCCAACGTCAGGATCCTACACACCAGTTAATCGGATTTATTACACGCGAATTAACACGCGTTCATGAATCAATACGGAGAAGGTGAAATCTTTTGATTCAGACATAATGAGACATTTCTTTAACATAAATATATCAAATATTTAATAAAACAAAGGAAAAATATACAAGTTCGAACTTCAGATATAATTATGATATCGCGGAGAGAGAGATCACATTTCAGTTAAAATCGTATTACCTCATTATATATATTTTTCTGTATTTAGATCGATGTGAATATTCGTTATTTCACTATTTCTTCTCTTGTTTCAGTTCTTCTCACTTATTACTTCTTGTGCCGCCCAAGAAGTAATAAGTGACAAGAACTGAACTTCAATAAACATTTTCATTAACTTGGGAACTTATAAATAAACTTTGTATAAACTTCGGGACTCGGTTATGGGCGTTGGCCGTGGAGAGATGGTATGGAATACGTCCTTCTCGTATGGAATTTCGTGGCGTACTCCCCGAATAATACTAAAGAATTTCCTTTTTTGATGTTTGTCACCAATGGGAAAATTGTATTCTTTCCACGTGATTAGAAAAAGTGGGGTTTACAGAGGTAGGGACAAATACACTGTATGTGACTCAAAATTTTTGAAAATAAGGGGAAACAAAAAGGATGTAGAACTTCCGTTGAGAAAAAAGTGAATTTTACCCTTCGTTTTTAACTTAAATTTCTTTCATTTAAATCAGAAATATTTCTAACATTTATGGATTTGACATCAATTTCCAATTAATAAGAAGGGGCTGTTCAGAATCTCACACATATTTGTGTTTTTCGAAATTCGAAAGTTTTCAATGGTAAGTGAATTTAATTATTTCTAAAATATAAATCGTGTAGTTGTAGGTTCACTGGTGCATATATTCCGTCCCAGAGACTTAAGCCCTGGTCACACTATGCGATTTCTAGCCGCGCAGGCGACTGCAACTGCAACAAGCGCGAGTCGCGCGTGTTTTCTCATGGTCACATATTGTTCGTTGACGTTGCAACTCGGAAACACGTTACCCTATAATAAACCAATAATATTACAGTAGCTTGTTTTTGACTATTTTCGTGAGTTTGCCGATATTTTACGTTCTACTTCAGAGTATTTACGAAATTTTAGCCACTTTTCTTATTAAAATAGCAAGCAGTTCCTTTTCTGGAATAAATAAAAGAAAAACGGCGATTATTTTAATAGAGCTGGCGAAAATACATGAAAAAAATAAAATCTTCGATAAAACGAAGAAATAAAATTTCACGGGTATTCGTGAGCCTGAATAAGCTCGATCAATCTCGATTCTCTAAAAGTATTAATCCTCTGACTATCCGCGATGATGATGAACTATTTTCAATGTTATCACTGTATGACGTGGCATAAAGGCGTTTGTTGATTTGGATGCGCGTTTGCAATCGTCGCGAGTAGAACAAACTTTTTGTTTCTAGTTGCGATTGCAGTCGCGCTAGTTTTCGAGGGGGAATTAGTGGTTAACTGGAACAGCCGTCGCGGTTGCAGTCGCCTGCGCGGCTAGAAATCGCATAGTGTGACCAGGGCTTAACGGGAACAGCCGTCGCGGTTGCAGTCGCCTGCGCGGCTGGAAATCGCATAGTGTGACCAGGGCTTTAGGGGTACATGTTAATCTGTGTGATATTCACGTTTTTTAAAGTTTAGTCTTGACAGACATAAGTTAATTCAAGATGGCGATGCGTGAAATACAGACTCCATTGGTGCTTTTAATATGGAACCAACTCCTCTGGGAACCCAACTCCTTCAAACTTTCTCTTTGCAAGCAGACATTCGTCCGGAACAATTTGTGAAAAAGAAACTAGGTAGAAAGCTAATTCTTCCTGAGAATATCGTAAAAGAGCTGTTTAAATATAGGCTATATTGTTTATGGAAGTCATATTTTTCTATTATGAAAGCATTTTTTCGATAAAATACATTGGAGTAAATAATTTTGTAATTATTTAACATTCTTTGTACTTTCCTATTTGTTTTTGGATACATTTTTTGAAAACATACAGTAGTGTTTCACCCGGTTTTACCTAAGCCTATTTTCTGATTTTTTGTACAGAAGCTTCCAAAATCATACTTATAGTTACACTAGCGAAAAATCCAACTAGGAACATTTAGTTCAATAGTTACCAGCACTTTTCGCACAAAAAATGTGAGTGTAGTTCTGATACCTTGTTTACAATTTATTACTGTATAACGTAATTGGGGTTCCATAATACCATCTTCATCTATAAAATTTTATAAAAGATGTTTTTTTTTAATTTCTGTGTAAACATATTTTGAAATCAAGGCATATTCAAAGTTCTTACATAAATTTGAGTTTCAATTACTGTACTAATTACTAATTCATAATGTATTAATGCAAGAACTCAATTCCATATAAAACGATTATTCTTAATCAATTAATACAATTATTTATCATTGAAATAGCATTATAAAATTTTTTATTTAATTTTTTTTTATTTTTTTACATTGTAAATTCGTTATTATTATAACTCTTAAAATACGTTTACTAATGGAAAGTGTTTGTCGATACAAATTCTATTTGAAAAATACTTAAAATTACAAACGTAATCAAGATATTTTTTATATTATTGTCTAAAATGTATAAAACGATTTACTTTTATAAAAATTTATTCATGATGTTTAATTTAATTTAGGCCTACATGAAAGAATATTTAAAGAATATGTTTAAAAAGTTTCTGTAGGTAAAATTGCTGTAATTTGTGCAGTGTGTTACAGCGAGGTAGAGAAATAAACTGTTAAATTTAAACAAAGGTTAATGTACAGTAAACAAGGAGTACAAACTATGTGTGACTACATTGGAAAGGGTGTTTTTATATAAGGAAAGATTTAATTGCCACCAATGTCTTTAGGAAGATCCCACGATACTTTTGCCAACAAAAATTTATGTATATAAGATAACACATAAACAAAACCATTTACAATACTTTTAGTATTATTCCGCTAAAACAATCTGCCTGATTTCTTTTACCTGTATTCAGGTACAGTACACCTTGATTAACGCTGTTAATTAATTAAAAAATTCATTCGTGTATATAAGAAGATTGCCGCAAGATATGCCATTATAAAAGATAGGCAGAAAGTCTGTGAAGTTTTTAGTGCTTACTGGGCGTAGAATAAAAAATAACTGTTGCTTATTGCTTGTTTTCATGAAATACAATAAACTTTTTTTGTGTGCTTTACTTTATCAATTACAATTAATATTACTACCCGCAACAAAAAGATTCAAAATTTAATTTATAATTTAGTAAATTATGATTTAGTTCTATAGCTGAAAATACGCTCATTATTTCATAATGAATAATAATTAAAGATATTCTCCACATTTTACTTATTTCAGATCGTTAAATAATGTTACATTTTTTAAATATGAAATATTTAAATCGTTAAATAATTGCAATATATAGAAAAGAAGGTGGTATTATGGAACCCCAATTACATTTTAGTGAATTGTAAACAAGGTATCATAACTACACCCACATTTTTTGTGCGAAAAGTACCGGTAACTAGTAAACTAAATGTTCCTAATTGGATTTTTCGCTAGTGTAATTATAAGTACGGTTTTTGTAGGCTTTTGTACAAAAAGTCCGAAAGTAGGCTTAGAGAAAATCAGGTGGTAATATGGAACCTTACTGTATATTTTCAAAAAAATGCTTTANTGCAGTGTGTTACAGCGAGGTAGAGAAATAAACTGTTAAATTTAAACAAAGGTTAATGTACAGTAAACAAGGAGTACAAACTATGTGTGACTACATTGGAAAGGGTGTTTTTATATAAGGAAAGATTTAATTGCCACCAATGTCTTTAGGAAGATCCCACGATACTTTTGCCAACAAAAATTTATGTATATAAGATAACACATAAACAAAACCATTTACAATACTTTTAGTATTATTCCGCTAAAACAATCTGCCTGATTTCTTTTACCTGTATTCAGGTACAGTACACCTTGATTAACGCTGTTAATTAATTAAAAAATTCATTCGTGTATATAAGAAGATTGCCGCAAGATATGCCATTATAAAAGATAGGCAGAAAGTCTGTGAAGTTTTTAGTGCTTACTGGGCGTAGAATAAAAAATAACTGTTGCTTATTGCTTGTTTTCATGAAATACAATAAACTTTTTTTGTGTGCTTTACTTTATCAATTACAATTAATATTACTACCCGCAACAAAAAGATTCAAAATTTAATTTATAATTTAGTAAATTATGATTTAGTTCTATAGCTGAAAATACGCTCATTATTTCATAATGAATAATAATTAAAGATATTCTCCACACTTTACTTATTTCAGATCGTTAAATAATGTTACATTTTTTAAATATGATGTATTTAAATCGTTAAATAATTGCAATATATACTAATTAAATTATACATTTCTTTTGTTCTGTCGTATCTAAAATTTCTCGTATTGAAAGGAGTATAATGTAATTTGGTAAAATGTACCAATGGTCATCATCGATACATTTTGTGCTGTATCAATTATAGAATTTTATTGTTTTATATGTAAATATCTGCTTATATAAATGATGCTTATTAATGCACAATCTGCTGATAGCACTTTTAAGAAAGTATTTAACATAAAATAGAATTATACAATTTTAAGCAACAAAGTTTTAATGTTAAATTAAAATTGATTTTAATTTTTTATCCGTTATTACCAGGCTCAGATTGAATTAATGACTTTCTCATTTTACAATAACACAAAATTACATGAATATATTTTTTCATTTAATGCATTGCGACATAATTTAACTGTAGACTTACCCTGTTATAAACAGATCATTTAAAACAGAAACTATCAAACAAATTAAACAAGTATTCGTCCTTCAATATCTTTAATATTAAAACATATTGAATATAATCTGTAATATTTCATTGCTTTATATTGTTTTTTGATTTAATAATGTTTAATAAAATTCGATTGTATCTGTAAAAATTTAAAATAAATTTTTAATATTGAGTTTGTACATAAATATTATAGCTCATCCAAAGGAATCGTTATATTTCATTGCTTTATATTGTTTTTTGATTTAATAATGTTTAATAAAATTCGACATTATCTGTAAAAATTTAAAATAAATTTTTAATATTGAGTTTGTACATAAATATTATAGCTCATCCAAAGGAATCGTTATTAATAAACCCAGAAATAAGTTGTGTAGTTTTGTTAGAAGAAATTTGCAATTGTTGATGTGCCATCTGTTATAAAAATTTATTTCAAATACGTTTTATATTATTGATTATAACATAATAGCGAAACAATTTATTTCGAAGCTGGAAATGAGTTATATATAAAAGAAAAAAACTTTCAAATATTAACTAATAATAATAAATAACCAGTAAAATCTTCACTAAGTTTGATCCCACTCCAGATATGACACGTTGCCTTCATTTATCTGTCCATTTCTTCGATCTTCCTCTTCCAATAATTAATAGTATAAATCCTTTTAATATACAAACCGTGCTGCAAGATTGAAGATATTTTCGACAGAAGGCATAAAAGATATCGAACTTTAACTCGGTGAACAAAATCGCGCTCTCTACAAACACATACTAGAAACCATACTAACATTTTGCATTTCATGACGTTTTAATTTCTCTAATGCAAAAAATATAGGAACCTTGAAGGGTGATTTTTTACCGATCAAAATACTTTCTCTCTGTTATATATATAACATCTGGAAAATCAAAAGAGTGTGCTGGAAGAACTATTGACAATATTTATTATAAGAGCAGGTGTTCTTAACCTTTTTGTTCTATGGACTATTTCTCCAGTCAATAAAAGTCACAGACCCAATCTTACAATAATGTCTTTGTATGCTAACATAAAATTATAAAAACAAACCAATAATAGATAAATATTTTGATTAAAATTAAAAAAAAACACTTGATATAGTAGTAGCGCTTGGTTCTTAACACAGAGATTAGAAATTAAGCAACGAGTTTCTTAACTATTTTTGACATTTGATGGTGTCAACTGTTATAATATATTATTTTAAATTATTTTAGATATGTTACTATTAATTAACAAATTAATTTTTATAAGTTCAGATAAATACATAACATTTGTTATTTTTGTAACAATGTTAATATAAATATTTATTATTTCCTTGAAGAATAAAAATATTGATATTCGTGCTGTGAAGTTAACATCAATTTGCTAGAAGTAACAATTATTTACAGAACAATCTTCAAACTTTACATTCGAAATAATTCCTTTTCGTTCTCTAAAAAAAGTGTTTTAAGATAGAAACTTTAACTTAATAAATATTAACTTTTCAATAATTATTTATAAAATCAAACAAAGAAGAATAGAATAATTATATAATGCTCTAAAATGTTATATTTTAATTATTTATTTCACAGAGAAATCCAGCAATTTCCTTCTTATATAAGAGAGTCAGAAGAAATAAAATTTGCAATATCTATTTTTAATGCAGTTAATAGTAATAATTATATTAAATTCTTTCGTCTTGTAAGAAAAACAACTTATCTTAATGCTTGTTTACTCCATCGTTACTTTTCTCAAGTTCGAATAAAAGCCCTGCATACAATTTTAAAGGCATTTTGTATACCAAATCGTCCAGAACAGGTAAGCTTAATTTAAATTTTATGAAGTATTTTGTGGATATCACATATGTCAACATACAAAACAATCTATTGTATAAGTCGACCTTAATATTTCAGCTCAGAATTCTGGTTTACACCCTTCCTTCATATAAATTGATTCTTAAACATACATTAGTCTAGAACTATGAGGTGTGATTATGGTATTTAGTACTTTATAGTAAGAGTTTATTATAATGCTGCATTAGCTTTAAAAATATGGCATGTATTATGCAGTTCATACAAAAAAAAAAAGTGGACAACAGCATGTATATAGGACAAGCATTAAAATTCTTCAATAAGTTATTTTGGTAAGAAGTCTGTTGTAAATTTGATTTACCAGTAAATATATTCCAGCCAAAACCAGCACATCCAATAAAATATTAATAGTTTACACAGCATAGTATCATGATAGAATCATTACATAAGATATTTGATAGTAGATTACTGTGATGTATGCCTTTGCNTCTTTTATCGATTTTACTGTACAAGTAAAAACTTCCATTTGCAAACCTAACAGGAAAAATTATTATTTGTGTTTAGGAAATAACTGTGGTCATCAGGTTAAAGGTTTTATAGGGCCCAAAATGCTCAAAATATCTTTTAATGTAAGTTTGTTTATCGATTTATTAATATACTTAAAAAATTAATTTACCACTCTGTTAATGATATTTAATGAAAGAAGGTGTTGTTGTTTCGAAAATAATTACTTTAAAAATGTTTGTGTTTTTCATACAGGTTAAGGATGTAATATTTTTCGAAAAATTATTTTGTCTCTTTATTCTACTTAACGTATATAGTTTGAAATTTGGAATATCATGCGGTAAGTAACATTAAATTATATGTACATGTTTAGTTCGTACTATTTTTGTTAATAACTCTTCCCCTGACCACAAGAGATTATTTTTCCGGGGATATCGTGTGTTCAGTTAGGTTCAGAATGAAAAAAAATTGGTGCTGATAGTCGTGAAAAATTCCATTAGTTTTTTATTCATTTCAAAAAATTCACAGCAGCTCCTTGACGTGTTAACGACTCGGCCATCCAGCCGACTGCTCATGATATTTAAATGTTAAGGTTTCTATTTAAAAAGTTTATCGTGACTTTGGATATTGATACAATAAAATATACATCTGTAAATATAAGGAATTATTTATGTTAAGAATTACGTAAATTTAATTAGTAATATTTTAAAAAATATATTATTAATTAAACATGTGAATGATGTTAGACTGTGTATCAAATATTATTTTAAATTTTTTTGCTTAGGTAATGTCCCTAAATTACGCCCGCATTTTTTCTTAGAATTTTTATTTTTCCTCATCCCATTATCCCAGATTTGACTGTAACCTCCTCACCTATTCGGATGTCCAACAAAAACTCAATTACTGTCAAACCCTTTATCACGCTCTAAATAAAAAAATGCAATAAACTGTGTAAAAATTTAATGAAATAAAACAGACGTTTATTAAAATTTACCCCTTTTCTCCCCTTTCTCTGACTTTGTCTGATTTTTAATAACCCCCTCTCTTTCTTTCAGTACGGATGTCATTAATGTCTTTTGTATGTATTACATACAAAAGGCAATATATCACTATGATGATTAAATTATAGCACTCTTAGTATAGCACATAATTAATTAATTACACACAATTGTAAATTTTTTATATTTGAATTTCTGTGTAGAAAGTGAAGTACATAGAAACTTAGTCAAAGTAAGAATCACAGCCCTACCAGTAAGTGATATTTAAGAAATGTTGAAGAATATAATTTACTTAAATCAGAATTACTAGTTAAACATTTAATTTATCTCTTATTTTTTTAATATTTCATCATGAACATAGTTCTCTCCTTACGTTGAAGTTCGTAAAAGAAACAATGATATAATTTTTCATGGACCTAATTTTAATCTCTGGAACATTGTTATTCAGAATTTCAAAAATGTCAAGTAAGTAATATTGATGTTTTTGTTTTCACAAGTTTCCTTTAATGATTTTACTTAATATTTTTTACAGATATGAAGTCGTTCAACCTATTGAAAAAGTGTTTGGCATTGATTTAGGAAATGGATCATGGAACGGTCTGATTGGAAGAGTGCAGAAAAAAGTAAGATAATAAATAATATAAATTACTTTATAATACAGATTTTATACGAATTATTTAATTATTAATTATATCAATTCATACATTTCTTAAAGGATGTTGATCTTAGCATTAATTCTGTGTGTGTTACATACAAGAGGCTACAAGCAATAGATTTCACAATTCCTATTCAGACAGAGAGAACAGTATTTATTGTTACTGCTCCACAACGAGTTTCGGATATAACGGCAATAAGTAGACCTTATTCACTTAAGGTAAGTAAATTGAATAAGAAATTTATTTAATATTGTCATCAGAATACTTTTTTTCTTTCGTTTGAACTAAAATATTTCATAACTGAGAAAATCTACCTTATATTAGCTTATAATTTTCTTGTCTATGTTTTATTTTATCAGAAAAATAATAAAAAATTAACAGTTTGTTAGGTTATATTTGCACTGCTCTGTAGTTGTCGAAACGTTTACAGGCTGCATGTATGACACGTCACGTGATGTGTGAAAAGTTTTAATGAAGCTTGTAAAACTCTTCAGCACATTACGCTAACTGCAAGTTTACAACACTAAATAACATGAATTTATTCGTCTTTAATAAGTGAACCTTACCTGTGAAAGAAGAAACAGAAGATGAACAGTCTATGTTACAGACACATGGGCACCGTGCGTGTTTTTCGCAGAATTCTATTTATTCGCATTCATTATTCAAATAATTACATGAAATTTACACGAGTTTTATTAACTTACTATACTCGGTTTTTGTCGTTTGTTTGTTTGTTTGTGTGCTTTGAAAAAAAATTGTAACTAAATGTTTAACTCCCTTCTTATTTCCTACCTAGGCCCACCAGTGGCCAAGCGGTCTTCGTTTCCTGAACACTGGGATTTCGGTCGTGGGTTCGTGCTTTCGCGCGGACGGGCTGGCCACGTGAAGTTTTCCGGGTTTTCTCCACGTCTGTAATGCCTAAATAGGGGCCAGTTTCCCTTAAAAAGATCTCCCGGAAGGCATCCCATCTAGGAAGATCATTCAAGTGTTGCGTTGCCGTAACTAAACAAACAAACTTATTTCCTATCTAGTCGAAATTTGCATACATGTATACTCGCTGTGACAATACAACTATTTAGAGTTTGCAAACAATTGCAGCAAAAAGACTGATAGCAAATTTACATTTGTAAACGAAATCTAATAACGGATGCTCCACGTGTAACAAAATGGATTGAGAGTACCTTTTAAGTATTAAAACAGGTAAGCGTATCCATTTCGGCCTTATTAGAGAGGTTGCGGCCGACGTTTCCAACGCGAAAACGAGTACGTCGGACGTTCAGCGCCGCCTTCTTATAGGCTTAGAGGTTTGACAATGGCGTTTAGAACGTCGAGCATGATTCCACTGACGTTCCAAACGCCATTGTGAAACTTCTAAGCCTATAAGACGGCGGCGCTGAACGTCAGACATACACGTTTTCGCGTTGAAAACGACGGCCGCAACCTTTCTATTGTCTAGACGAAATCTTGTAATTCAACATTCACCAACTATTCATTCACGATTTCGTTGAAACATTGAATATATATATTCTATATATAACAATACATTTTTACAGCGTTTGGAAATTTAATTTTAGCAAAAAATTAGAGAAATTTTACAAGAAAAATACATGCTAAGTATTTTCCATATATATAAGTAAAAAATGAAAAATATAAAGGTGATATTATCAAAACGTTTTGTATTCAAAATAAATACCATAAAAAGTTAAAATTAAAAATAAAAAAAAAAAAACATTCTTTCAGCTTTCACGCTATTTTTAGTATAATTTTATTTTTAAAAAATGAAAGAATAAGACCTGCAATATTGTGAGAATCTAATTCTAAAATTGATTAAATTTTTATTAATTTAAAAATCGATGTAAAATTTTATCACAAAAATTATCTATTTTTTCATATTTTTGTGGGGATATAAAAATACAGTTTTCATTTTTAACGTTTTATTGCCTTAAAAACTTATATCGTATCCTTTGACTAAACTACGAGGTAGATCGATTCATTGTCAGATTACAATAAATCTAACTCCTGATTGAAAAATATTTTTTGTATAAAAATGTTTTACGCGCTAAACTCTGTGTGGATTAACCATAATAAGTTAGTTCGTCAGAACTATTAATTTGTGCTGGATCTTCCGACTTCCACGTCATTGAAGAAGGTCATTCATGTTCAACCTATAAATTTAGAGGTATTATACTAAATATTATTGTAAATTCTCTCTCAATATAAATTAATAGGGTTATAGTTAGATAAGTTAAAGACCTCTATGTTATGTTATTATATTCATTTGTATTCTTAATTTTATTTGTTTATAAAATATATTTCTACTAGCAGATAGGCCCGGCGTTGCTCGAGCAAAAAGTAACGATACCGAAGATTAAGATTATTACGTTATAGTCGATCTTACCCGTTTTCAAAAAATGCAAGAATTAGGTCCCCTGTATCCAGACTAATTAGAGAATTTCTAGATGAGTTAAAAAATGTTCGATTTTCTGCAAAAACGAAAAAACTACATCTGCGTCTGTAAATCTTGCACTTCGCTTTCTCTTAACACTTTCATTGTTAAAACTTTCATTATTGATAATTCCATTGTTACTTAACACTTTCGTTGTCGAAAACTTAATCCTCTCCCTCTCCCCACGGGGAAGAATTTCGATAAATCCCTTCTTAGTGTGCGTTCTCGTGACCTACCCTAACTGTGGATCAAATTTCAACTTTTAATTCCTAACCGTTTGGGCTCTGCGCTGATTATTATTATTATTATTATTATTATTATCAACCTGTCTCGATTATATATATAGATTTGTTAAAATGGAAGTTAATTCTCAGTAGTTAAAAATCAGACATCCTATCGAACTTATTCATAACCACCCCACTCTATAATAAACCATCATTCTCAAACTCATTTTAAATCTCTATCACGAGTTATAACATGAATATTCCAACATAGTCAGCATCCTGACTAGGTTGAGATCTAGCGATGTTTGTCAAACTTAAAGAATATACCATCCAATAACAATGTAAGCGGGATTTACTATTCAATCGCCGTTAAATAGGGGTTAAAAATTTACTTTTTAACCCCATGACTTTTCACAGTAATGTTAAAAGGATGTTTACTTTCTTGGCTTCGTTATATATAACACAAAAAGAATGGCAGTTGATCGAAAAGTAATTCTTCCTCCGAAATTTGAAAGGTTAAAAAGACTAAAACGTTCTGTAATAAATAACATAATCAGTTAAAAATCAAGGAATAAGGCATTAAAAATAAATCAAAAGTAATTCGAGACTTAGAATTGCAAATCGGTGGTTAAATATTTAATTAGAGTAATTAAAAAAGTATAACAAAGAGTTCAACTTTATTTAACTTTTTAATCTATGTCAGAAAAATAAAATAAATTAATTATGCATTTATGAAAAAAGAATATACAATGTTATTATAATGAAACTAAATGTAATGATTGTTTTTTTTATTATGTTGAACCCAATTCCTAACTACGCGGCTGACTCGTTGTGTTCTGTCTTGTTTTTCCTGCATTACAATAACCTCTGTCTATTATGCGACAAACCTGACAGCAACATACATTATATTTTTTACTGCATACAAACAGAATTTGAAAGGATTTGCGGTTTCTCCAGTTTGTACACACTTACATTAAAACGAATTATAAAATAGCCTTAAGCAATAGCACAACAGGCAATGCCAGCATGTTAACTTCATGTAACTCTCGTATATACTGTAGTTCTTATTACTCTAATCCATTTGTACTGTAAAATTCAAGCAGCAGCCTCAATTTATTTAAGTATTCTGTTTTCTAATACCGCGACTCTTGAACTAGATGTGCTTTCACTCTACTTTTAGTTGGTGTTTTAGCCTCACATCTGCTCACTACTACTTGTATTTTAAAATGTATTGTAAACCTGCTTATGTTCAGCGATAACAGGTGATGTAATTGAAATTACGTAAATAAATGAATGTTCAGTCGTGAAGTCCTGGCCGAATTCATACTGACGCCAACGTGTTCATAATGTATAGTCTATTATTGTAACTCTATATATCAATTTAAACATAATTTAGAATACTTTTCAAACATGAAAGATTTAAATGTAAATACTTGTATTAATCAGCATTTAAATTATTTTGCAGGTTTGGATTTGTATGTTGGTTTCTCTCTTTATGACTGGGATATGCATATTTTTTATTTCTGTCACACGAAAGTTATGTTTTCGTGAAAGTAGAAATTCATGGACAAGGAAACGTATCTTCTGGTTCCTCGTTCGTAGCTTAACTTCACAAGGTAATTTATGGAATATAAAAATAAATAAATAAATTTTAACAAAAAATCTATTTTTAAAATAATATCTATAAATATAAACTTTAGTTTTATATAATTTATGCTCATTAAAAAATTATCAATATTACTCAAATGATTGATAAATATGTTGTAAAATTAAATTAAAACAGGTTTATGATTATAATGTGTTTTGTTTATTATCTTAATAAGCAGATAACATTATTTAAGCAGTTCATAGGTGCAAGGGAATCACGATGGAAGGGATGAAAGCAGGTTTTTTCATCTACTAATGTATTTATTTATTTTACTTATCTAGATGTACAGTACATGCTCATTTTTACTTAGTTAATTTTCCACTATTCGTTTATAATATTTTTTTTGTTTTTATTTTTTCAAATTTCATTGTCTTTAAAAACTTTTAAAGCCTACTCTTTAAGTGATTCACTTTGCTGTTTCGAATACAATGATGCACTAAATATAGAATAAAAAATCTTGTAATACGCTATGAAGAGTTACTTAGCCGCGGGCTATCCAAACTGCGTGCCTTACAACATACATGGAAAAGAGTTGTGTTCTTTTCTTTCCTGACTTTTCTCTCTCTGTTCTTTTCACTTTTCAACTTCTTTTTCCTTTACTCAGTCTGTAACTCGGTCTTTTACTAGGTCTGTCGCTGAGACGGTCGTCAGTCAGTCAGTCAGTCCTNCTGTACGTTTGTTTCAACTGAGATTTATATGTTACGAAATTGGATTCGTTCAAAAGTCTGTCCTTGTCTGTCCTTATCTCGTTCGTTTAGATCACAGGACCTCCATGCTATTGGAGAACAATAGACCAAGAAAAATGCTAATCTTATCAGTATGATTTTACTTTTACAGTAATACATATTTGTTTGTCAGTTTATCTATTGACTGCCTTTTTTATCTTATTTCATTACATACATTTGGGTTAAGAGATTCCAAATTTGGGCTACCAATAGCAGATTCAGATAAGTGTATTACTCTAGGCTATTTCATTTGGTTGACTTACTACTTTCTGGGCCACTTATAAAATAATTTGATCTTTATTTCGAAGAGTTCGCCTATGCTTTTTTTTTAAATAAAATTTTTTCTTTATTTCACGAGGTTTTTACTGTACACAGAGCCCATTTGTATCACTTTCATTTGAAATTTATAAAATACTGTATTGTGCTAATTGCATTTCACAATACATAACTTTTGAGGAATAAAACTAATACTATTTTTTCAATCTTAATTCTTGTTAAAAAGTTTTGGATGAATTATGAAACGTGTTCAATGTTTCACGATTGCGAAACCATTTTCTTTGAAAACAATCAAGAAGCTAACAAAAATACATATAGATAGTTTCGGGCCTTCGACTAAATACTTTTCTCTCTCCGCTTGTATTCTTCGGATATCTTTTAATGCAATAATCACTTTATATATCTGCAGACATGCATATGAAAATTTCACTGAAACATTCTACTCAGCAAAAGTTTTTATAATTTCTAAATACCTGTCGCTTTGTGAAAATAATATTTATAAATTTATGTCATTGGGAACTTTAGTCACAGCAACAGAGTATGTTTTAAATTTTCATATTAGTTATAATTCATTATGATTGACTTATTTATACTTTTAGAATTTTTAAAATTTTCGTGGTCACTTGATATAAAATAAAACTGAAATTTATATTAAATTTAAAGTAAATTTTCGGTCACTTTTCTCCACCTTTTCGGACTTCTCATTACTGAAACAAACTTTTTCGAAAAGTTGTACTGTCATTTAGAATTTATTCACATTAACAAATAATTCACGAGGTATTATAACGAAATTATAATTAAGGAGTATTTATCCCAGCTCTTTGCGATACTGCTTATTATATTTTTATAGTCAGCAAGTTAGTAAAGAGTACTGTACTTTGTTATGTACAGTATTGTATTATTACGAAAACTGTGATCACATTTCCTGTAATAGAAAATTAGAACCTACAAAATATACAATAGTACCTACAAAAAATCAGAAAAACTTTTGTATAGAGATGACAATAATAAATTACTCTACTGTGTATCATTGTTTTTGTTTTATCGCGATTTTAATCAACCTTTAATGACACGCGATTCACGCTTTATTACTTTTTAATTGTTTTTTAATGGGAGTTTTATATCAAATTTCATTCATCGTTCTAAAGTTGTAGTGCACGGATTTTCCTTCGGTAAAGTTATTTAAAGCTAGTTTCTGATATCAAAAACGACTTCCGATAAGTTTTTAATTTTTTTAATTAATAGATTTTATATAGGGGAGATCGGGGCAAGATCGGCATGTTAAGATTTACTTAAATTTTGTGTAATAAATACTGCTGTAAACTGAAAAAAAAGCTTTGCATATTGTCTATTGGAATGTTACCTTACTATAGAACTGGTTAAAATCAGTTTGGAAAAAAAAATAATTAAAATAATTACAACTTTACAAGAAGAGAGAAATTGACGAAGTTGCCCCGGGTATAGGGGCAAGATCGGCAACTTCTCTCTTTTTGTAAAGTTGTAATTATTTTAATTATTTTTATTAAAGTTGCCCCTGGTATAGGGGCAACAG